ACCATAAACAAGCGCTTCTCGGGAGGCAACCCGGAGGATTTCTAACCCTTTTTCTCCCACTCCTTTCTTTTTCTTTTTGTTTTATTTCTTTGTTCTCTTTTAATGTTTTCTTTTGCGTCTTTTCTTTCCTTGTAGGTTTCTTTTTGGAAGTTTGGAGTGGAGTGACATTAGGTGAACTTTATTTTATGCTCCTTTATTCTTTTAAGCCAACCTCCTGACGAGACCTTTCTTATTTTTACTCTTTTACTTTTTTTTTGAGTTCTTAGTTTAGAACTATTTTAGGAAGAAGATGAATGGTTCGGGGATGTTTGCTTTTAGTTCTATGGAACCTGGGATTGTTGATGTTGTTATCGAACGATCACTGGTATGACGATTAGGACTTATTTGGATTTTATGCCTCGTTTGTGAACCTTTTTTATTTCTTCCTCTTTCTTTTGTTTTGTTTCCTTTTTTTTAGTCAAAAATGACTATGTCAAGATGAAATGAATTTGTTTTGGAATTCGCTCATGCATTTGGAATTGATTGCTTTGATAATGTGCCAAAGAATGTATTTATTCCTAATTGATGATGGCCTACACGGTTTGAGAGTGCTTGTGGTTGAGATAGACAAATTTTAAGCTAAGGTAGTCGGTTTAAGAACTTTTGAGGACGCTTGAACCCTTAGTTCATGGGAAAGTGGTAAGATGGTGTTGCTCTCTATAGTGGATATGAACCTCTTTAGTTGGTGTTTGCTTACTTCCCATCCCTTGTGAGGTCTAATATTTTTCAAGCTTTCATCAATCTTGTTGAGCGGCATTTAGGATCCTTGACTATGCGTATGTTGATCCTTGTGTTGTCCTATAGCTCCCAAGATCATGACCAAGCAACTTAAGAGGAGGAAAATTAAAGGGCACTTCTTCTCATTTTTCTTTATCTTCTTTTTGTTTTGTTACATATTTTGTTTTTATTTTGCATTTGCTCCTCTTGCTAACCCTTTGAGCCTATTCCTTTGCTTGATTATGATCCGCATTACTAGCCTTAAGAACTTTCGTTTCTCTAACCCTTAGTTTTTGAAGAATTTTAGTTTGAGATTTTGTTTTGTGTTCTAATGAAAATGAGAAAGTATTATGCTCTTTGTACCAAGCAAGAAAGTAAATTGTATAAATTGTGTGTAATAAAGCAAATGCATCCCAGAAAAAGTCGTCCTTAGTTTAAAAAGGCAGGGACATCAAATAAGAGTTTCAAAAAACAAAAAGGGTAGGTTTTCTTTTTTTCCCTTAGTTAAACATTGAGGACAATGCTTCGTTCAAGATTGGGGGGAGCGTTACTTCGTTTTTGTTTTTATGGAGTGTTGGTGTTGAGTAATCTTGGGGGAGATGGCATTATTGGTATTTTTGTTTGATGTTTGGTGATTTCTTGAGTTTGTTTTTAAGATTTGATTACCTTTTGCTTCACTCAGGAAATATCACCAAAATTTTCAAATTTTTACCCCGCCTTAACCCTTTGCCTTACGTTACAATCCTAGTTAAGACTCTTACGGTGGAGGGAGATAGATTTCAACCCTATGGAGAGAGTATGCATAGTTGAGATGTCTGGATGACCCACTAATTCCATATATAAATTGAATCTTTTTCCAGTTCCTTCGTGGAATCATGAGGAGTTAACCAGGGGGTGATTTGAAGCTAGTGGAGAGAATGTGGAATGTCTTGCATGGGGCTAGGGCGGAGAATGAATTCTCTAGCTCTCTATTCTTAGCTTAGGTTTGTCTCTTTCCACCATGAGCATCTTAGAACGTGTTTTCCCTCATTGAATTGAGAAAGGTGAGTATTCTTTGGTGCACGTCTCTTCATTTTTAGTCTAAAAGGAGTATTTTCCGCCTTTGAGCTTGATTGGTTTTCTAAACCTTACCATGTTAGGTTGGTCATGATTGTGTTTGAATTTTTTGTTTTCTTTTCTTATTCTTTTTTTTTTTTTTTGCCTTGGTTATTCTCTAGAGTTGTGGGTTAAGCTCTTAGGAAACCCTCACGAGAGCACACTCGTCCTCTAGGGCGATCTAGGTGTTTAAAGGGCTTGTATTTAGTTGCTAAAATTTACCATGATTCCTACGAAAGTGAGTTAGTGTATATTCTTTCTCTTTTTAGTTTTTCTTGCTTGAATAAATCATTCTCCCTTTCTCTCGTGTTTCGTGTTAATTTGCTCGAGGACGAGCAAAAGTTTAGCTTGGGGGAGTTTGATAGTGACTTTTATGTCACTTTAAGGGTATTTTTATGCTTTGTTTTAGCTTGTCTTGAGGTGTTTTGTAGTTGTTTTGTTCAAATAATGCGTTCATACATGTCTTGATGTGTTTTGGATGAAATCGCGTATATGCTTAAATACTTCCCTTTATTGCGTGTTTTCACCGTTGCCTATACCTTATTGCTTCCCTTGGTGCTTGTGCTTAGGTATTTAAAGTCTTGGTTTGCAAAGAAGAGGACAAGTAAGAATGAGAGTAGAATCGAAGAACCAAGGTGCGAGGAAGCGCAAAATGTGCGCGAGAGCGCGGCCATTGTGAGAGAACGCGTAGCCCTGTTAGAACCCGCGCAGAAGGATGCAAATTTCAAAATCAAGGCAGAGATATTTGCGCGGGTTGTGTGCGACAAATGCGCGGGCACAAACCCTAGGCACGCGGGTGCACAACTCAGCCAGCAAGCCCCAACCCACGAAAGCGCGGGCACGCAGGCGAACCCTCCCTTGCGCGGGCGTGTAGCCGCCTTACGCGGGTGCACACTCCCTTGCGCGGGCGCATAGTGAGCCTTGTTCAGCGTTTTTGGGCGTATCTTATTATATTCGAGGCTTGTTTTTGTACGGGACTTCTGGATTTTATTAGATCTTTTTCTCTAGTTTTAGGAGAGCTTCTCTCTCTAGGTTTTAGCTTAGATTAGATGATTTTAGTGAGAGAAAGTAGATTATTGCTTAAGTTTCTCTATTGTATTCAACTTTTGGGTCAAGTTTAATCTTCAATCAAGCAACACTTCAAGTTTTCATCTTTCATTAATCCTCTCTTTAGTTATCTCTAATCCCTTATTTTAGCTTTATTTATATGCTTTATTGTTGATTATTTTCATTCATCTCTTTAGTTCATCTAGTTGTTATTGTTTTCATTGTTCTCAATCATGCTTTGTTTTGTGCTTCTTGAATTCATGTTTAGTATTGTTACTAAGCTTAATCTCCCTTCCCTAGGCTAATTTCTTAGCTAGGGGAAGGGGGTGGAAAATATGTGGTGATATTGGATGAATGATGATGGTTGGATTGAACTCATGCCATAAATTAATGAAAGACATGATTTTTGATAGCTTGAGATTATTATTGCACTTTATTTGATGTGTTTCTATTTTAAATGCATGAAAGTGATTTGAACTAGATTAAGATCGTCTCTATTTTAATGATTGCATGAGAATGAGTTATGAAAGTGGAGTTTTATGGATTTTGCTTCTTCATTCTCTTTATTTGATTGTAACTAACAAGATGCATGAGAATGATCCTTATTAGTATCGACCTTTTTCATTGATTTGCCTAGACGATTGCATGAGAATGAATTGTTTAGGTAGAATCTTGTGTTTTTTGGCCTTTTGTTCATGATAATCATTATTATTCCCCTCTTTCTAATCATATTTGACACCCCCGTATCCCTAGCGTCGTTCTCTCTTGATTTTAATCATCATCTTCTTTGCTTATTTGTAGTTTTAGTGCTCTTTATTCAAAAACCAACATAAACTATCCCCTTTTACTCTTGCATTAGTGAAAATTGATGTAGAATTAGTAAGCTTCCTTAGTGGTTCGACCCTTTACTTGCCACTAACTAGTTTGGTGTAAGTTTAGGTATTATAAATGATTAATTTTATTAGGGCAGATGTTTAACGACCTATCTAACCCTCGATCAAATATTTCAAGCATTACCCCAAACTTGAACCCCACTATGATCATACACTTAAGCATGGTGGCGTCTAAAGGGAAGGAAGCTAGAGCAAAAGAGTCACCAAAAAGTTTTAGGAACTTGTAAACCGTTCACAGGGTGAAGGTTACACCCCTTAACGATCCATGAGATCGCCAACTCCAAAAGATCTGGAACAAAAACTGGAAATTTGAGGATGAAGGTACAAATCCAATATAAAAGAGAAAGAACCTGCCCTAATAATTGGCCTCTACTTTATTCTTCTCGTATTCAAGTGTGCTTTCTGACTAACATGCAATCAATAGGTTAACCCTAAACATGTTTATCTATGTTGGTTGAATTTTAATGCACAAATAAAACTATTATTGGCGATCACTTGAATTATAATCAAATTAACCCTAAACAAGACACTGGTAGAAAAAGTGCTATTTGTAACGCCCTATTAGTAACTGGCGTATATTATGCTAGTTACAGAAGCATCAGTAGTAACTGACTAAGATAATGCCAGTTACAAATTCCATGACATTAGTAACCAACGTAGTAAAAGTCAGTTACTAATATGTGGTGTATCTTTATTAGAAGTTTTATTAGTAACTGACTAAATAAATGTAAGTTACAAATGTTCAGTCACAAAAAATTTGACTAAAAAACTTGTAACTAGCTTATAACCGCCAGTTACAAATACTTAGTCAAAGAAAGTTTGACCAAAGCGTTTGTAACTAGCTTATAAACGCCAGTTACAAATATTAAGTCAAAAAAGTTGACCAAAACATTTGTAACTAGCTTAGAAACGCCAGTTACAAATAACAAGTCAAAGAAAAGTTGACCAAAACATTTATAACTAGCTTACAAACGCCAGTTACAAATAATAAGTCAAAGTAAAAATTTTGTAACTAGTTTAAAAACGCTGGTTATAAATAATAAGTCTAACAAGAATTTTTGTTTTTTTTTTAAACCAACAAATATTAAGTTTCTATTTTTTATTTTTTTTTATTTTATTTTATTTTTTTTTTGAAGGAAAGTTTCTAGTTTTATACTTTCTCTTAATTTTATTTATTTTTCATTAACTTTTTTTTTTTGAAAAGTAATTTTCATTTAAATTTTGATTAAAGAAAAAAAAAAATTAAGGTAGCTATTACTGAATTCGCAAAAATAAAAAAAAAAACTAACTTTTTTCGCTCCCCCTTCACGTACTGCGCTGCTCCTCCTTCCTCCTTCACTGCTCCTCCTTCTCCTTCACCTCTCTTCCTTCTCTTGCGCAGCATCCCACTCCATTAATTGTTGCTTTGGTTTGTTCGAATTTGGGATCATTTTTAGGGGATTTTTATCAAAGTTTTGAGGTATATGTTCCTTTTGAATTAGGGTTATTTTACTTTCGAATTAATGTTTTTACATGTAAATTCGAATTGATTGTTGTTGTTTTCAATTACTTGATTAATTTTTAATGAAATTAGATTATAAAAAAACCAAGGTAATTAGGTTTTGATGAATAATTTCGAACAAAAAAATTAAGAAACGCTTATTGTTTGTGAACTGCTTTGTGTAATAGGGGTACATGCATGTCTAATTGGGGTACACTAGCCGATTATGTGAGGCTGCTGTTTAATAGATAAAGGTTCTAATTGGTGTACAATAGCCGTGTATGTCAGGCTTCTGTTTTTCTCAGCGTGTGTAAATTTGTGTGTGCAAGTTAATTGAGATTACCGTTACATTGAGAATGCTGCTGTTTTTATTATTGTTATTGCATCTATGTTGAACGCTACTGTGTTTGTTGTTGTGTTGAACGCTATTATTGGCAAGAAAGAAAGGATTAGGATGGGAAAATTGATTCTTATTTGAAGTCATATATGCATGTGGTAGTACACTTAAATAAGTTATAAGCGATTTTAGTTATAGAACTCTTAAGAAGTTTATATGGATTCCATGAAAATTATGCATTATGCTTCGTTTAGATTATGATCTTAGGCTTTTTGGTTGGTTTGTTTGATTTAATTGTTTGTATGAATCCTACAATCAGGTTGAGCCGTTGAGTTATGTGAGAATCCTCAGTTTTATCAATGAGATGAAGAGTAGTAGGGGTAAGTATGATTTTACAATGGTTAAAATCACAATGGTATAGCAAAATTGAGGTATCAAGTTTACATGTAGAAGTTCTAGAGGGGTTGAGTTTTAGTTCATTCATGTCAAACAAAAAGGCTAGTATCATAGTCTAAATCGTTTAATAATGGTCTATTAAAAATTGTCTTTTGAAAGCACATTTTTATACTAGCATGGTATTTAGTTGCTGCCAAGCTTTAAAATTGGCTGCTGCCAGTAGCCTAGTATCAACTATTCTACTACAACAAGTAACAGCAACTTCACCCCTTGTCTATGTCGGTTATAAGTAATAGAGAAAGAGGCCAGCCTAATATGAATTATATTTAAAGTCCCTTTAAGCCGATCAGTTTAAGATGCATAGACCAGTTTAAGATGCATATGCTGTTGTGGTTGTTGGTGTGTTGTAATTGTAGTTTCTTGTTACTTATCTTGGTCTAATAGTCATGCTAATGTGTGTATCAAGTGGCTGAATTTCATCCTTTTGCTTTGTTGTTCGTTCTTGACAGAATATAAAGGCCAAGATTGCAATCAAAATCTGAAACACTACTTTATATAGTATAGTGAGACATAAAATATCCAATAAGATAATGAACATATGGTAGAGTTTAGTGAGACATAACTCAGACATTTATCAGAACTGATTTTGAGAGCTAGAAGTGTTGACATTTATCAGCAAAGTAGGATATATTGCTTTCGCCGCCACTGTTCAGGCTATCACACTTTAACATCAGAACTGATTTCAGAGCTGAAATTCAGAACTGATTTCAGTGCTGAAACTCAGAACTGATTCTAGTGCTGAAACTCAGAACTGATTTCAAATTTATGAAGTGTGCTTGCATTTTGTTCATACTTGTGAGTGGTAGCCTGGTATGCATATATGAAGTGTGCTTGCATTTTGTTTATACTTGTGAGTTTGACTGTTTTTTGAGGTATTTTATCTAGTGGGAGTTGAACTTTGCCTATTTTTTAATGCCATATGTAACAAGGTGATTGATCCAGATAAACTTGATGAAATGCAAACTGATGTTGTAGAAACATTATGCAAATTTGAGATGTATTTTCCTCCTTCATTTTTTGACATAATGGTTCATTTGGTTGTCTATCTAGTACGAGAAATCAAGGAATGTGGCCCGGTTTTTTTTGAGGTGGATGTAACCTTATGAGAGACACATGGGAACTTTGAAAGAAAAGGCGACCAACAAAGCACATCCAGAAGGTAGTATTGTTGGAGGTATTATTGCAGAGGAGGCTAGTAACTTTTGTTCTGTGTTCTTAACTATGGCTAAAGAAATTGGAGTTCCAACATCTCGTCATGAAGGCAGACTTCAAGGGCAAGGGACGATCGGTCGTCAGTTTGTGAAGCCTCCATCAGATAGAACTTCAAGGGCAAGGGACGATCGGTCGGCAGACTTCTTGCTGGTTTGCCATTTCATGATGAGGGTATTTTAAGTTTGGCATGATATTAGCCAGCTTAGATTCTTTTTTTCCTTAGTTCAAAGTTCCTCTTGCTTTCGTTCCTCTTGATTTGTGATATATATATATATTCTGCAAATACATCATACTGTGAATTTTGCGGAGGTTGTCCATTAAGTACCCCTGCCCCCTTCCCCCCCTGCCTGACCCATATGTTCCTCCCAAAACCCATTTGCCAGAGGTCAATTTAACAAAACATCAGTTTTTGTACAAAGAATCTTACCTGCTTTTATTTCTCATACTTATTAGTTATTAACTGTAGATTATGCTTTCATGTTTCTTACGTCATGATCAATTATGTAGGTCCCAACTAAATTTCGTCTTGCTTTAGTTGATGAGTTCAGTGGGAACTCAGTGATTGTGGCCGATGGAACGGCGGAACCTTGTCCTAGTGGAGTGATTCATAACAAGAAAATGAACCGTGACATTTATAGAGTTAGTGTTCCATGTTTACAGTGATTATTCTCAACTAAATCTCCTAGAAGAGACTGATGACGGTATCACCAAGTTGGGTGAGGCGAAAGGTTATTTTTTGGGGTGGCCGGCAGATTTAGTCTTCTTTGCTGATGAGGTAATTCATTGATATGCTATGTAATGATCTAAAATATTTGTAACTAAATTATATTAATATTTATCTTTTCTTGAAGGTTATGACTTTGGCAAAAAAGACGGATAATGAATTGGTGCAAACCAAAGAGAAAGTTGATAGTTGCGGACCTATCAACTCAGAGCATTCAACTATTAAAGGCAAAGGCATAACTATTCTGGAAAATATTGTTGAGAGTCTTGGTGAACAGTGTTCTATGTTGTATTATTGCGTGACTTCAGGAAGTGGAGATTATGATACTACGACAATTCCATTGAAGGCTCTGTTTTATCAAAAGGAAGACACACAAATTTATGTTACTAGTGATGATGTCTCTGAATTACTACGAGGAGCATGGGCTAATATTTCATTAATCCATGTCTACATATTGTAAATACCAACATTCATTTAAGTTATTTGAATTTGTTTTACTATGAAATATATTTTATTAGATCCATTTATTATACTAATTATTTATTTTTTTTGTAAAATGCAGGTACTTAATTGAAGAGCGTATCTCATTATTTCAGAAGACTAGAATCAAATTCTTGTGCCCCTAAAAAATTTCTACAGCAGAAATCAAGAAAGATTTCCTTGAAGTCCAAATGTATTTGAAAAATGCTTTTCTTACTGAATTAAGGAAAAAGGATGCACAATGCAAATTCATTTTGGCTCCATATATGGAAGCGTATGTACTACTGATCCTTGAAATCTTTACTTTTTCATAATTTTATTATTTTAATTATGTGAATAATACGAACAAGTTTATTAAAATGTAGGAATCATTGGGTACTCTATGTGATTGATTTGCGTAAGAGTCTTGTGTATGAGTTTGATTCTATTATTCAATCACCTCCGAACGCTCGAAACTCAGAGTTGTCCAAAGTAATGAAGATGTTAGTACACAACATTCATAGTACTACGTATTCATATGCATGTGATTAAAATTTATTTTTCATTCGTTTAATCTAATGATTTTTATGATTTTTTTTAGACCTTACAATGTATATAGGTCACACCTTAAAGGAAATGCTTTCAAAACGAGTAAGCCACAATTACTACACATAAGAATGGAGGTAAGCGTAATATTTTTGCCTTTTCGTTCTATTAGTAATGAAAGTATATTTTATATATTAAATAATTGTACTATGTTAATTTGAATTAGTGTGCTCAACAATGTGGTGGTACCGAATGTGCTTATTATGTGATGAGATATATGTATGAGATAGTATCTTTCCATAGCGATTGCAAGGGTAATTTGAAAGAGGTTAGTGATGAGATATATTACAAGTTTTGGTTGATGTTTTATTTTTATAAAGTATAATATATATACACGTAGTTTTTTCAGGAGTATTTGGTAAGACTTGCAGCCTACAACGATGTAGAATTGGATAAGATTCGAGAACAATGGGCTAAGTTTTTTAGGCTTAATTTTTTGTTGAAAGACTAGTTATCTTATTAATCGATGTTATGATTTATCACATTTAGCTTAATAAAATGATATAACACATTTTTATATATCTACTTTAATTTTATTTAGCCTATTGGTTATTGTTATTACATTTCTAAATTATAAATCAATACTTTTATAATTCAAGTTTAATTGTTTTTTTGGAAATTATAGTATAATTAATTTTTTTGTATTGTATTGGTTATGGATGAATAATTCGAGTTGCGCGGAACTATTTAAAATGTTTGTATTGTATGGAAGTATTCGTAGTATGTGTTTTGTTGGTTGAATTGTAACAGGTTATAACCCATTTGACGATGGGTCATTTGGTAGGATATACTACCATTTTTGTATTCGAATCAAATATTTTTTAAAAAATATATATTTATTAGTAACTGGCGTAATCTAGTGCTAGTTACTAATAGTATTTTTAAAAAAATAAAATAAAAAATATATTCGTAACCGGCGTTATGGTTTGCCAGTTATTAATAATACCCTTATTGTAACCGACGTAACTTAATGCCAATTACAAATAGTGTACTGTTTTACTTGGAAAATAGACTTTTTGTAACTGACGTTGGGTTATGCTAGTTATGAATATACCCTTATTGTAACCGACGTAACTTAATGCCAGTTACAAATAGTGTGATTTCTTACCTGGAAAATAGACTTTTTGTAACTGGCTTTGGGTTATGCCAGTTACGAATAATACATTATTTGTAACTAACATGAGCCGGTTACAAATAATTTTCACTAGTTGTAACGGTGGCATTCGCAACTAACAATGCCAGTTACAAAAAGTCAATTTTGCCAGTTACAAATAGCACTTTTTCTACTAGTGAGATTATTAATTATCTTATTAAGCGGTATTACAAGTACCGAATTCCCTTTAAACATGCATAAAGGCGAGATCAAGCAATAACAATAAATATTAAGCAACATAATAATAACAATAAAAATTATTATAATTATATAAATAATCATCAAAATAACAATCATAATCATAATAACAGCAAGATCCTAGGCATGATACTAACAAGATTAATAACAAACCATAGCATGTCACTAAGCATATAAAAATCAAAGCTTTAGCCCTAACATGACACTAAAATGATATTAAGAAAGAAATAGGAAGCATCATAGAAATCATAATTGACATTATACTCTTTACCCTAAACATCATACTAAGAAAAGCATCCTAACATGATACTAGGAATCGAAATAACAACCTAAACATGATTTCTATATCATAATATCAATTAAAGAATTAAAGCACTTACTTGGTGCCTCGTACATCTTTTTTTCACGTCTAGGGGGAAGGCAACTTGAATTGGGCTAGGTGTTTCTAGATCTTGTGAATGTGGAATTTTATTTATGAAAAGTTGGTTTAGAATAAGAGAGAGAGAGAGTATTAAGATTTTCTTGATGAGAGTTGGTAATTACAAACAGAGGTTTAAGGACACTATTTATAATGAAAAATAGTCCGGTATAGATAAAAAAGAATTGGAGTTTGAAGAGGAATAAAACACGACGCTAGCGCCGCAATAGCCTCAATCGCCAGGCAATAGCCTGGTGTGCGGCGCTGCAGGCAATTTTCCCACAAGTATTCTATTTTTTGACAAAATTAAGCGTAAAAGTCCGAACGAGGGGTAAAATCACAATTTCATTTAAAACACTTCTTTTATTCCAAATAGCACTCATAATACTCAATTATCAATGCTAATCACATTAAGATTCAAAAGAACCTTCTAGAAGACTATAATCAATCCTAATCGCATTAGGAATGACAATTCATAATAGGCCCTCCTCTAGATCATTGGGCCGCATATAAAGATCAAACCAGGCCTAGTTTAGTAATTTGGCCATAACTTCCTCATTATTCATCGGAATTGGGCTTATAATAAATCGTTGGAAAGCTCGGAAATACATTCAAGTCAATGGTTGTGAAGACTAATGGAAAGCTCAATAAAAAAAAGTCAACAAGATATCTCCTAGATGTCAAACTAGCGCCAACTACGAGAGACTATAACTAGGAGCATCACTAATCCAGCTCAATCGACAATTGCAATTGCTAAATCAATGGTCCGTATCATTAGAAACTACAATTCATTCTAGCATAATTCTCAAGGCCTATAGAATTACACACGTCCATATTAGACACAATCAATCAATCATCCAAGTTTTACCCAATCCCTAGCAAACAACTACTCTAACATCATCATCTAATCAACAAACAACTAAAGAAATCAAGAATCAACAATATATGAAGAACAACTACACTAATCAAGCATCAAACATCAAAATCAATCTAAACTAACAAGAATATTAAACAAAGCAATAAAATGAGATAGAGTTAGAAATGCTCATTGATAATAGAGAAGATATTCAACACAATTGTCACCATTGAATCTTCAATCTCTCAATCACCATTGAAATTCCTCACTTTCTCTCTCTAAAATCTACTCCTAAACTAACCCTAAAAACTAGAGAGAGAAGCTCTCAACTAATCTAAAATTATGATCTAAAATTGTGAATTCAGTTCTTACAAAACCGGTTTATAAAGAGGTATAAATAAGAGGGGGAAGAAAATACCGAGCAATCAAATACCCAAGGGAGCGCTCCCGCGCTGGCAGGTGGCGCGCCCGCGAAGGCTGTTGGCGCGCCCACGCCCGTGTCTTGCGCGCCCGCGCTTCTCTGGGTTTCATCGGCTCTTTTCGCGATTTTGTGCGTTCGCTAAGGTCTTCGAATGAATGCGTAATATGATGATGATGATGAACACTAAGAGTGGCAGTCCCAAAAAGCACTTGACAGTGGGTTCAACACCCCATCTTCATGAGAGCACGGCTTGAGAGGGCAAGAACATAGAGAATCCACTTACTTGCATCTTGAGCTTTCCAATTGCCATGAGCTTTCTCAAAAGCATATTCCACCTTAGTAAATAACTAATATCAAGACCTAGACGTCGTACAATACATACAACCACGAAAATAGAGAAAATAAAGGAGAAAGAGTAGAAAAACCAACAAAATGAACAAAGGCTACAAAATAAGAGAGGAAAGGTAATACCAAGACCAAATCACAAAACTAGGAATTTATTGAGCATGAAAGCTATTAAAGAAGGTAAAAACAACCTAATTGTTCATCAAATGGGTGTCATTTATGACACTATGACACCCATCACCTAACATTCTCAAAACCCTAATCTCTCAAGTTCTCTTACTATCATACTACTTTTCTTCTCTCTTCCCAAATACTTTCCAACCCTAATTGAATCTATTGAAGTCCTTGGAGGTACGAAGAAGAAAGAAAGTCCATAAACGCATTAAAGGGATACTTAACATAAAAGAAGAATGGTTAGTTTCCTGAGCACTTAGATAAATCACTTTTCTTTTATTGTTTAAATAACTTTAATTGAATAAATAGTGTTGTTTGATCACTTTAAATAAAATTTTAATTAATTAATTCACATAGTATTCTTTTGTTAATCAAGACTAGAATATGATGATTAATTTTTGTTTTATCACTTAAGACAAGGCGAATATTGTTTATTTTGTTCTTTTCACGAAAATTGATTAAATAAGAATAATGACTTTTGCAATGTAATTCCTACGTGATTGACGCTTGTAAATAAAACAACTAATTTAGTTTTTAGGAGCCACGTTGCATATATTGTTAGGTGATGAAATTATGAAAAAGGAAGAGCTAGTAGAGGCAGTAACTAGGGCTAGAATATCAATTCCTCCCTAAAAGGAACGTTATTTTAGTTCCCTCAATCCCCAACTCATTTCTGGTACACGTAGACCAATTTGGGGATGGGTAAACGTACGATTTGTGCTAATTATCCCTTGAACTCTACTTGGGAGAAAGGCATGAACAAGTTTTATGAGTTTTCCTAAAACTCATTGGCGACTCCTACTTTTTTCTTACAAAAAAGCGTGATGAGAGGATCATTTCTAATTCAAGGTCCCCCAAACAGTTAAGAATTCAAATCCTAATACACCCTAATAAGTGTAAAGTCCTAGGATTTTAAGGGAACATGGGTATCTAAGGAGAAAAATCCCCTACGATGGGAACACCCTCCTTACTGTGGTGACTCAACTGGGGATTTAGAGGTTACAAGATTAGTTCATAGCTATGGTTCAAGGTTTCCAACACTAGGTTCCTATGGATTCTAACGAGAATTAACTTGGATAATCTCTAGTTAGAAAGCGAGACACGAACACATAATATCTTCCTTTTTCACAAAAGTATAAATCGAACAAGCAACATTGCATCATGCATAATCGTAGCACACTTTAACCTAGAGATATAATAAATAAATAAATTCGTAAAAATTATGGTTCGACCAAAAAAAGAAAATGTTGTCTGCACTTCGACAAAAAAAAAAAAATTATGGTTCGAAAAAATAAATAAAAAATCAAAAATCAAAAAAATTGAAAAATTGAAAAATTTTCGAACTTACCAAGTGGCGCGCACAACTATCAAAGTTGCGCGCGTCCTCGAAGCGCAAGTTCAGAAGTTGCGTGTGGCACCTCCACGCAAATCTGCGTCTTGCGCAAGCCCACTGTTCAACATTGACTTTGACTCGTTACGAGCTATATCATACGGATAAAACCATATTACCGCTTCAAGGTTAATCTTTAAGTAGGTGCTAAACATATCTCTTTGGCAAACAACGTTCTCTAACTTAGTTACCTTTACTTTGATCGTCTTATTTATTTTTTATTTTTTTCAAAAAAATCAAAAAACGTTTCGTATCTTTCTTTTTGAGTTTTCACAAATAAAAAAAAAAAAAAAAACGCATGTGGAAGATGCTACTCTTGAAGTTGCACATTCCAACTTAGCGCAAGACCGAAAATTGCGAGCGATATTTTTTATTATGATGATTCGTTTACATACTTTATAATCAAATAAATGACATTACTTCTTATGAAGTTCATCATTAGAAGTTCGCATCCCTTAGTAGGACGTCATCAATATATTAATTCTTAAACGTGCCTATTTTCATGTTCATCATGTTTTAGTTGTAATTGATCAACCTTGATTTAAGAGTATAATTTATTTAACTTTTCTATGGTTAAAAAAGTAT